AGACGCATATAATACTTTTTATTGACGTAAAGTGCAGCCAAATATTTGACATATGATCTCTCTCCTGCCAGCAAAGTGAATCATTAGATAGGCGGTACCTTGATATTGGTAACACGTGGCTCGCCATGATGAAGAGGGGTGACGTGCTGTAATTAGTGTTATTGTGAGTGAGTATTGTTTTATGTCGCTTTTAGCAATATTTCAGCAATATTTCGACGGGGACACCAGAAATGGGATTCAGACATTGAACCCATGTCGGGAATCGAACCCGGGTCTTCGGCGTGACGAGCGAACGCTTCAACTACAAGGCTACCCGATCACCCCAATTTATGTTATAAGAAGAAGAAGAAGAAGAAGATTTTTACTACCGTGCCACACTTTTTTATATAATCATGATAAGAACATAGGTAAAACTATCAAAGTCCAGCCTCATAAGGCTCACGCGATACAAATATATAATACATAAAAAAATATCAATACTATTGAAATGAGGTTTATAAAAATGTAAAATACATAAAACTATCAATACCATTGAAATAAGGTTTATACGTGTATGCACACAAAATGATTAACTACACAATTGAAATATAACAATGACTAAATTATTTTTATAGTGATAGGAAGGAGAGGAAAAAAGAATTCTGCATTTGTATATGGTCTAGAGAGGTGCGACCAGAGATTGTGAAAAAGATCATTAATCATTGCATAACACAATCTTTTTTTTATCAATCGGTTCCATAGATGAAAAGAGAGGTTCGAATTGAGAAAAGTCGCCTTCAACAGTATTACTGAGTTGATCCGATTCTGTAAGGTAGTCACAGGGTGGGTATAACGGCTAAGTTCAATATCAAGCGGACGTGACCCACACGACGGTATATTTGAGAGACTAATACATTTTACATATTTATCAGTACATATTTTTAAGAAAGACGATTAATCTATAGCTTATCATTAAATTTTCCTATGTCAGTTCATAAGTTGTGGCGACACTTTATAAATGAACAGTTAACAAAAGATTCTTAATGTAATCAAAACTAAGCGGGGCATCCTTGAGATCGACGTTGGAGGTTGTGAGGGGGTAGAGGGTAGAGGGTAGAGGGTAGGCGGTAGCAAAAACAAACTTTTAATGAAATCACAGTTGTGTTCTATGGGGGACATGTCTGGGGAGTGTGCAGGCCAGGCAACACGTTGACGTTGTTGGTTGCAAGGCAGTTCTGAACGATGCGGTAGGTCTGAGGTCTAAAAGTTCCGTTTACGGTGACAAGTGGTGTTCTCTCCTGCACACAAATTCCTCCCCATAAAAGCCCCCACCCCAATAACTGTCCTCTCTAAGGTCTGTAATCCCTAATACATTGATCCCTTAGTCGTCTGGCCACAGTCTTTCGGCTAGCCAGTTGCCCTAAGGTATTCGTCGCTGATGACGTCACTGTCAGGAATCGATCACAGAGATGCAAAGTACGCAGGTACCGGTCTTCATTGGGCGTAGTTACCCTGGGTCTGTCCATTTGTGGCCTGGCTTATGTCAACCCGGTCTGTCTGTAACGTTGCATCGGGTAAGTTACAGCACCACGGGAGCAACCAAGAGTTCCAGGCATGTGGGCATGTGTGGCTCCCATCTGTATCATACCCACTGCTCACTCGAGTTGCTCGGGTGTCAGTCGTGACATTTCTGGGGTTTTTCTTTAATCAGTGTGAGTGTCTGACATGCTATCGGTATTATATATATACCATTATTATAAGTGTCGTTTCGGCTGCCCAAGCGGCACGTGTTTTTCACTTTGTCGGATTTGCTACACACACAAAATAAAACGTGCCGTAGACGTGTAATCACTTTTTGCAAAGAACATAGTTGTTTGGACGATGTGTTTTGCATTGCTTTAGTTTAGTTTAAACTTGTGTTTTTATAGTTTTGCAAGTTTCTTTTGGCCGTCAGTTAATATAATAAATAGTAAAAACTCCATTTATAATGCGTCAGATCCCAGTTACTGTATTATAAAAATAATGCTCGCTGTGCTATTATAATTATTATTATTATTATTTACAGATTAGAATAAAAAATGCAGCAAAGAAGGTTTGGGTGATCCTGGCATAGTCAGGCTGGTTAGGCTCATCATCAGCTCAGGGCCCTTGCCCCCTCTACACGCAGCCCAGACAGCGAATGGGACTTCTCCCAGGAAGTGCTGCCTAGTCAAACCCACCCGGAACTTTTCGGATAACGTGAAGACTCCCCAACACTGCAGCCATCTGCATTACCCAGTTTGTCAGAAGGGCTGTATTCCTGGTAGCAAAGGGTGGTCGGGTAGCCTAGTGGTTAAAGCGTTCGATCGTCACGCAGAAGACCCGGGTTCGAATCCCGACATGGGTACAATGTGTGAAGACCATTTCTGGCGTCCCCCGCCGTGATATTGCTGGAATATTGCTAAAAGCGGCGTAAAACCAAACTCACTCACTCACTCCTGGTAGCAAACCCGGTTACTCTCCCGATGTCAGTCAACAGATTGGGAGGTACCAAACCTAAGGCACCGAGACCAATGGGGAGTCGGAAAACTTGGTACTTGGGATGCAAGCGTGACATTTCGAAAGCGAGGTCTGCATATTTGCCATGTTTTTCCTCAATCTTGTCAATTACATTACTGTCAAAAGGGACAGAAACTGTGTCTGTGCCAAAGCTGGGCATCCACTCACAATGTGTTGGACAGTCTCATTAAATTCATTAAATAATCTACATTTCATATTCACATTTTGATGCAAAATCACACATTGACTGTTTCGAGTTGGAAGTGATTGGTCCTGAGCAGAAACAGAAAGCCTTCTGTTTCATTTTTCAGGCCAGACGACTTCATCCAAGTCAAGGACTCTGCAGGATTGCTGAGCTACGCAACACACTGCACATAAACTCGATCCTGGTCTTTGTATCAGTGTGCACTCAACTTTCATTCTCAGCCGCCTGGAGAGTACACAATAGTACTATAATAGTACACATACAGAACTACTACTACTATTACTACTACTACTACTACTACTTCTACTTCTACTACTAATCCCCAGCCGCCTGGAGAGTACACAATAGTACTATAATAGTACACATACAGAACTACTACAACTACTACAACTACTACTACTACTACTTCTACTTCTACTACTAATCCCCAGCCGCCTGGAGAGTACACAATAGTACTATAATAGTACACATACAGAACTACTACAACTACTACAACTACAACTACAACTACTACTACTACTACAACTACAACTACTACTACTACTACTACTACTACTACTACTACTACTACTACTTCTACTACTAATCCCCCGTGAAGAATCGGGTTAGAATTGATCTTCAGCAACTCATACTTGTCGAACAGAATCGGGATGGTCAGGCTCGCTGACTTGATTTATGCATGTTATCGTACTGATGTGTTCGTACCATGTCAAACCTATAGGAAACCGAACCAGGATTGTCTTATTGATATACATTATAGACACGGACACGGACACGGACACGGACACGGACACGGACATATTTTCCTGTGCTTGTAGGATCATGCTACAGCTTTTGATCCTGAATACAAACTGGAGTTAAACAATCCACCAGCTCTCAAACAAGTGGTCACTGATGAGACGTCATGAATTGAGCACGTGTTGAGCACATACCCTAATCTGTGTATCTCAAATGCGACCAGGATTTATGCGAAAGAAAATAAACTTACAGGCTTACAACAAGTGATGAATAAATAATCAGAAACTGTTTCAATTTGTAACTAAACAATTATCCGAAGCTTGTAGTTATAAACGAGGCGTGGATGTTAAAATGACATCATGAACCGCCCTTTTAAAATCAAAGAAAATCAATTCACTGTAAAACGGAAATATTTCATGCATGTCGCATGCCATTTTAATCTGAGTGGACATTTCAGTATTACTCGTACGACATGATTCAGACTGTACGTCTCAGGGACCATCTCAAAATATAAACGTAATAGTTTAAACATTTATTTAACTGTATTATAAAGACTAGAGAGACCGTGTGCGAAATACGCTGCAGTCGGAAAGCGCACGTTAAATCTTCTATATCAGTCAGTCAGACTAGAGAGAGAGAGATATGGGCTTAACATATTGTACCCATGTCGGGAATCGAACCCGGGTCTTCGGCGTGACGAGCGAACGCTTTAACCACTAGGCTACCCGACCGCCCCTACACTCGTGTGATATTAATCGATGTAGCAATATTTAAGCAACGACACAGGGGCGTGTGGTCGGCTTTACGAAAGCCGTGGAACACGGGGAGCGTGGTGGGGTCAATGCCCCAGCAAAGTTTTTGTATCAAGTACGGATAACAACACCCACTAGCCGTTTCATTGTCATAGTTAGTAAATGTAGTTTTGAAATCAACTTTAACCACTGAGGATATGCCCACCTGGCTTAATTTCTTTGCGTCTAGTTTATCTTATTGAAAAAGATGTGCAGTTTGAGATGGTCCCCAACAGCTGATTGTAATGCATGTTACAACATGGCGGGAAATATAGTTAAGAATGCGGCCTCACAACGGAGCGGTTTGTTCAGGGATTAACTATATTTGTAAGGTTAACGACAGACCCGGAAGGACGTGCCTCACAAGCATTTCCCTAGAGGAGAAGCATGATCCCCCAACCCGACCTCTCAACTCCTTCTCCCATATAAGGATCCTACGCTTCCGACAGTGGACAAATAAATGACGTCCATTGGATGCTCCTACATAAAATATGCTAATGAGATCCATATACGGGCATCATGACCTTAAAACTTACGTAGGAACGTTTGTTCTATATTTACACAATTTAATGGGAATCAGACAACAATGTAATTATTGAGAACCCACGTAATGGGTGCAACCCTGCATGATTCAATAGGAACAGAGGATAAAATGGCCATAGACTGGCCATCTCCATCACTTACCCACAGTGAGAGATTAGAGTCAGCAGACCTACAACTCCTTCTCCAACAACGAGCAGCATCGCATCATGGCGCTCCTCTACACGCTACACATCCTTACAGTGAGTATATAACATAGGCTATATCAGGCATACATTATGAATAACATCTTATGTTCAGAAGACACTCTGACGGATATTTACATTTCGAACGCTGGGCTAATTTTCACTTATACATGAACTTTTGTTGGTGTCTGTTAAATTCATGCTTACAAAAAAAAAGAATGAAAATATGTTTGTTTAATTTCAGATTACTGCAACTGCAATCTTCGCATTGCCAACCCCAGGTCGGTTTGCATTTTTCTAGAATTAACATGACTTTGTAGTTACAAATCAGTTATTATTCCAATACTGCATGTAATTTTAAAAAGTGATTTTTTTCACATATCCATGCTGGGAAATATTAAAGAAAACTGAGTTCTGAATCGCCATGTCGAAGTAAATAGATAGTTATAATAATTATCATTAAGTTCAACCAATGCCTTATGTATACATCTCAGGCTGAATCATCGTTCAAGCCATACGCGTAGACCTTCTGTTGATACTGACGTGTAACCTTCGAAAATGATTCGCTCTGTTAAGTCATTAAGTAATGCTTTTCCAGCAGGGCTCAACTGTTATGGCAGGCCAGCTGATGTTGTCTTTCTTGTGGACACCTCGTCCAGTATCTGGCCCTTCTACTTCACCAACAACGTCCTCCCCTTCATCAGCGGCGTTGTAGACCTCTTCGACGTCGGCCCCGACCCCTCCCAGACCCGTGTTGGCTTGGCCACCTTCAGTAATGACTGTCATCTCCAGTTTCATGTCGGGGACTTTCTCGACAAGGAGAAACTAACCGATAAAATCCTTGATATCTCCATGGATGGCGGTAACACTAACACCGGCGAGGCCTTGACATTCGCTACGGAGGAGATGTTCACAGCTGACCACGGAAGTCGAAACAACGCAGCTCACATCATTGTCATCCTCACAGATGGCGCTTCTCAGGATTACGAGGCCACCCAGTTGGCTGCCCAAAACGCGCACCAGAAGGGCGTCCAGGTGTTTGCTATTGGCGTAGGGTCTCAGATTGACAACAAGGAACTGGAGGACATTGCCAGCGACCCTGATGAAGACTTCAAGTTTAAGGTGACCAATTTCGAGGCTCTTGAAAGAATCAAGGGAAAATTGGCTGCGAAAACATGTGAAGGTAATTATTCTATTCCTTGTATCTTAACAAAATTAGAATACAAATTACACAGTTTATATTGATTACATGAAAGTATCAAATAATAAACAATCTTGCCGTCTGTTTATTAACATACTCATAACACTGTGAGTCCACTGCTCAGTATTCCATGCATATTCCAGTGACGACACTTCGTGCTACCAATGCCCCAAGCACAACCCCACTTTCGACATCGCCGACTCCACCTTCCACAACGTCCACCTCGACACGGACGACGTCTGTTACATCTACGACCACTACAGTATCAACACAAGAACCTACAACTGCCGCCACACCAGCCCCTGTCGTCGAAGAAGCCACCCCAGAACCTACCCCAGGTAATAATATGTCACAGGTGGTCTCATTCACACATAAAGGCTGATACTGCGCCACTATCCTTAATCTACAAAGACAAAAGTGAGTTTTAACCTTTAACATTGAAAAATATTAAATGATTATAATTTGTTTTCAGAACCCGAAAATACTGGATTCAGAAGTGACGAGGAAATCAGAAACCAAGGTGAGCGTGCTTCTTGTTTCCTTGCCCTGATTATATCAAGATAAAACAGTGAGTGAGTGAGTTTGATTTTACGCCGCATTAATATTCCAGCAATAATATGGCGGGGGACACCAGAAATGGGCTTCACACAATGTACCCATGTCGGGAATCGAACCTGGGTTTGCGGCGTGACGAGCGAACGCTTTAACCACTAGGCTACCTGGCCGCCACAGATAAGACAGATCCTCAGTGTTTCATAAGATGCAACTAAATTGAATACTCTAATGACTGTGTGATTGAGTACGTGTCATCGCGGCCGGTTGCGAGGATCGTTTCTTATACTTATAAACCACTTGTGTCAGGCGCTGAGTCGATAAATTCGATCTTGACAAATTAGAATATTGCTACGATGTAAAGCAAGTTTCATTCACTCATTTACCCAAGGCGACATTGATAGTACTCTATTTGTAGCATGAGTTTTACGTACACGTTTTCGAAGTGTGTCGTTTTTGGATTTATTTCTGTATTGTGTTTGTCGTTTTGATCAGAGTGTGGCGGCAAGCCAGCCGATGTCTACTTCGTCCTGGACTCTTCTGGCAGCATCGAGAAGGAGGACTTCAGCGACACCATCCTCGACTTTGTTCGCAGCGTCTCTGGACTCTTTGACATCGGTTCCGGAGATTCTCAAACTCGCGTCGGCGTCGTCACGTTCAGCGATGACGTCACCCGGATCTTCCCACTGAGCGCCCACACATCACGCGACGAGCTTCTCGATGCCATTTCCCCTGAGAACATTCCACACAAGGCCCAGGGTACCAACACTGGCGATGCTCTTCGCTTTGTGGTCGATGAGGGCTTCTCTCCCAACGTCGCCAGACCCGGGGCTGCCCATGTCGCTATTGTCATCACTGACGGCCAGTCAAAAGACACTGAAGCTACCATCGCGGCCGCCAAGGCAGCGCACAGAGCAGGAATCTATGTATTCGCTATTGGCGTGGGCGAGTCGGTCGACCAGCAGGAACTGAAGGACATCGCCAGCAATCCCGACACTCGGTTCATCTTCACCGTCAGCGACTTCGCCGCTCTGTCAGAGATAAGGAACCTCTTAGCCATCAGAACCTGTGAAGTTGACCAGCCAGAGGGCTTCATTAATGAACAAGCAGGTACGTACTCCCGTCTCTTGAAGAATACACTTGGTCTTGGCATGTTGAAATAGTGTTTTAAATGGGTATTATAAATAAAACCAATCGTTCAAGAATTTACTCGTGTTGATGTTACTCAAACAGTTTACCAGGTGAAAGTGAAATTCAATGTATGTTTTCCTTACTAGCCTGTGGACTGGACGATGCTGAACTGGTGTTTGTCTACGATTCTTTCTCCATGGGGCTGAAATCAACCCGTCTGATCTACTCGGAGGCCAGTCGCATCACCTCCAGCCTCAGACGCCGAGTAAAGAACCTCTCCGTGGGGATGATCTCCGAGGCATGTCCCTCCAACCTCGACATCACCGTCAGGGACTCCGCGACCTTCGTCAGACAGACTCAACACATTGAAGACATCGTCAAAACCAAGATTCCAAATCTGATCAAGGACGTTCGCCGGAAGTGGTTCTCGAAGACGCAACAGTCAGGTCGCCAGATCATGATCCTCTACGTTGACGAGACAAGCCTTGAGAACTCACAAGATCTACTGAGTCAGACAAGATACGCCAAACACAAGGGCATAGAGGTGTTCGTTGTCGCCCTGGGCGAGGTCGACTCAAAACTCGTGGCTTCAATCGCTTCTGAACCACATGACGATCACGTGATCAATGTCAACAATGCAAGGCATCTAAACAAGTTCAGGAACGACATCGTAGAGGATCTATGTGGAGGTGAGACTTTTATACGCATGCAATACCACTCTTCGTTGAAATATGTATATACATATTAACTCCGTAATCATTTAAATCATTATAAAGCTCACCATTAACTGTTTTGCGGTCATGGACGATTTTCAAGAGCTGCTATTTAACAGTGATTGGCTGGGGTTGCTTTCCCGGGCCCGTTCCCCAAAGCGATCGTAAGACAACGACAGTCGTAAGTCTATGTTAAAGTATAGGAGTGACGATCACCTTAGGGCAACGATAGCTTTGTGGAGGGGACCCCGGAGCACTAGCTCTGTATTCCTTGCTAGTAATATTCATCCTTTCAAACATGTCCTGTTTCACATTCATTTCTATATTCTACAGATCACTATTATCCCATTCACATTCCATCCGTATTACCTGCTGCACTGTTGTCATAATGATATTAATGTCCATATTACTAACGGACCGCCTCCGAGTTCTGAAGTGCGGAAGATCCGGGGTTCGATCCGAGGCCGCGTCATACCAAAAAGACGTTAAAAGACTTGTTGTTACCCTGCCTGTCGCTCGTCATTAAGGGGATAAATCAAGGACTTGTCGGCTCGGAGTCAGCATACTGTGTCTAAGTGGGGTATTCATGTTACACTGCGGCATGGTACCTCAATGGGCTACCACTATAAAGTGGGCATTAATCCGGACTAGTGCAAGCAGCCACTCACACACAAACGACTCTATGTAAGTGCAATAATCTATAAGAACGCGACGTTAACCACATTTCACCTCAGCATGTTATCTACAGCCCACTGTTATCACATTTACACTACTGTCTGTATTGTCTAACTGATATTGTTGTTATCGTATTGACATTATTATCTATATTCTGCAGGTCACGTGAAGGATGACGATTTTAAGCTGCCCCTGGTGGACAGCCAGTAAAACGACACACCTGCCCCAGAATGTTGCGACCATGGACCCTCAGTCGATAAATCTCAAATGTGCATATCCTTGTGTTTTGAACGAGTGAACGAAGGCAGTCTGCTACCAAGGAATGGGAGCATTATAATCGATAAACCTACACATGTAGCCATGCGTTATGGCTAAATGTACCGGAGCAGTTTTTACTATGGAATGGGAGCATACCAGTCGATAAACATACACGTACATCCATGTGTTGTGACTGAATGAAACCAGTCTGTGAAAATTGAGTGGGGACTGGCTGTTGAATGATGTTACGATACTGCTGTTTACACGTGTGCCACATGTTACATGTGTTTGTATTTATCCCTATTGCGCCTGTCATGCTATTTTTGTCAACTCCTTGAAATACTAAGCCTCGGTGATTGAGGTTGAAAGAATGGTCTCTTTTTGACGCTGTGATATGATTCAACTGGTGCTATTTTCCATGTGGATCTGTGTAGTGGTCCACACGTTAACACGCTTAGCTTTCATCACCAAGTCCCCGTAATTATCATGATTGGTCATCTTATATGCATTTTCATTTATTTTTCATAATGCCATTTATGTATTTATTGTTTACCAGTTTATTACACATTTTTATATTTTTATAACAAATGATTATGTATACAAAAATAAACTATTTACAAAGACACTATTAGTTATTTTAGTACGGAGGTCCAGTAATTGAAATTGTAAATCGATAATAAGTTTCAATCATGGCACTTACAATAACCATGATCTAAGGGAGACAACTTTTCTCTTACCAAGATGGTAGCGCAGTGAGTGCAAATGGTTTTAGCAGTGCCACTGTGAGATCAATGCTGCCTGTAAAACTGACTAATTTGCAGGGTTTAAAGCTGCTTCAGTATTTCAGTTATATCAGTGGCATTAATTATCACTGCAGAAGAAAGCCTGAAGTATCATGGGTCACTATTTATCAATTTGGTGATTCCATCCAGCACTGGATTGGGGGTTGCAGCTTTGCACAGCTATTTGAATCTGTTAGATGTTTTCGCCACCAGTGCCACAGTAGCTGGTGAAGACATATCAGTCTACTTGATGAAAATTCCCTGATGTCATACTGATGTTTTTGTCCAAAGCGGACACCCATCTCCTATTCATCAAGGTGATGTCTACAATACTGTCCTCACACTGTCTATACATTGCCTGGAGTGACTGCGGATCTCATTACTACACACACAATCTGCCATTCAGCCCCTTGGTGAGGTGAGGTGAAATTGGGTTTAACGTCGTGTCCAAGATTATTGCACTTATATAGCGACGTGCATGCACGTGTGTGTGTGTGTGTGTGTGGCTGCTTGTACTAGACCTGACTGATGCCGATATATAGTGCTAGCCCACTGAGATACCATGCCGCAGTTTAACATGAATATCCCACTCAGACACAGTATACTGACTCCAAGCCGACCAGTCCTTGCTTTAACCCCTTAATGCCGAGCGCCAGACAGGGTAACAACAAGTACCATCTTTTAACGTCTTTTGGTGTGACGCGGCCGGGGATCGAACCCCAGATCTTCCGCTCTCTGGGCGGACGCTCTACCACTAGACCACGGAGGCGGTCTTCAGCCCCTTGGACTGAATTATATTCATCTTTCGTGACAAGCATCCGCTGTGGTGTCTTACATCTGCCTGGCAGAGTTTAAAGTAAATGCACAATATGAGCCATTTTATTAACAAGAAAAAAGAGTCAACCATATCCCCTGCCATCCATGCATACTTACAATGACAAGTAAATAGCTTTGATTTCCGTGAAAATGTTAGGCAGCAGTCCTAATTGGTCTAATACATTTGCAAAGTTTCACGTAAAAATAATGAAAGGTTTGTCACCAATTTGAACTTGATGCCTTGGAAAAGCAACATACATATTTTTTTATTTACTTTCCAGAATATCAAAGACACCAGTTCAGCACTTGCCCAATGTGCCATACCAAGTTTCATGACATGAAAAAAAATAAAATTATACTCTTGAAATATCCCTATCAGCCTTTAAGCAGCAATGCGAAAAAATAGAACCAACAAAAAAGTCCATAATTTTGTAAAAGAATAATTTTTATGGTGATTTTCATATTTGATCAACATGTTCATCACTTTATGAAAATGTCATCATATTTATTAGGTTTTATCGTTACTTTGCATCACGCTCAAAAGAGTAAACAAGGGCCATAACTCAGTGAAAAATGAACATGATGAATGTTTGGTGATGGTTATTTATACTTTTCTGATGTACACACAATGCAGGGGTCCGGAAACGGTCATATGCGCCGGACATGTCCGAAATATTGCTTACCGAACATTTAAATTTTTCTGTCCGGACATTTTAAAAAACAAACAATGCTACCTTCGGGGTTCAAATAATTGATGAGCGTTATCGTATCCCTTCACCGATTACAGGTGAATAAACAGGTATAACAAACTTGGGCAATAAAAGTATGAAATTTAATCTAAAACATCACTAGACATGATGATTTACCATTTAAAATGTATTTCCTGCTCTCCAAGGCATTGTCACAATGTCAACCTTATATCCAAAGCTGTTTCTGAGAAAATCTGTACCAATTGGTACACCATGATCAAAAACATCAGTCAAGGGCCATAACTCTGTAAAATATTTATTCCCAAATGCTAAGTTTTAAACTTGATCAAAATATGTATCTCTTAGTGATGAATGCAAAAATATCATTCTAGTATCTATAGTATTTTCTGAGGAAACTTGTAACCATTGCGGAGCCCTGTGCACCAAGGCCAAAACATCAAACAAGGGCCATAACTCTGTAAATATATACATATTCAAGATGCTTTTCGAAAATTCCTTACTGATGTATGCAAATGACCATACTTGTATCCATAGCGGGTTCCTAATATCTCTTTCCACCTGAAGTCGGACAGAAGGCCGGAGCCCAAACCTGTACCTCTAGCTCCAGTTCGTCATGGGCAATAATTATGTGGAACACAGGAATAATAATGTGTTAATTGATCCATCAAAATGTCTGTACAAACATCTACAAATAATCTGACAACAGATTTTCACAGATGTCTAATGTTTTTCATAATAATATGACAGCTGAACATTTTCTGAATTCTGATGAATATCATCAAATAAGTAGCACCCCGACCCCATGTAACAAACTTGCCTATACATCAATCAATCAATCAATCAATGCATCAAAAACATGTGCATAGTTATATGAACCTGATATGGCACAGCATTAGCAGGCAGATTCTGCAGTGTATGACATAACACACACAAATAACAAAAACATGCCCCACCTCTTAATACAAACAAATAAAAATACATTTCAAAATAAATATCTCAACAACATTATGCTGATGAACAGGAGCACTGTGAGTGAGTGAGATGTGACACTGGTTGTGAACCTCTTGCAACAGGAGGGAACTCGATTGCTTGGATTTACAAAGCCAGTGAGGTAGAGTAGTACCATGACTGGTTTGGTTGGTTTGTTGTTAAACGCCGCACTCAGCAATATTCCAGCTATATGACGGCGGTCTGTAAATAATCGAGTCTGGACCAGACAATCCAGTGATTGACATCATGAACATCGATCCACACAGTTGGGATCGATGACATGCATCAACCAAGTCTGCGAGCCTGACCACCCGATCCGGATAGTCGCCTTTTACGACAAGCATAGTCACCTTTTACGGCAAGCATGGGTTGCTGAAGGCCTATTCTACCGGAATCTTCACGGGTCTGTAGTAGCATGAATAAACACCACTGTATTGGGCAATGAGATCCAACAACCACAGAAGTGAGGATACACAGTCGATGGGTGAACATGTTCATTTCCACACCATAACTTTTATACGACTTTTCACATTCCTCTTGCAAAAGTATGACTCACAAAAATTCAACAAAATCCCCACACAAGCATCAGTGGGGAGATACACACACCATTCACCATGTTCACAACAATCCTAGCATTTCAATGTCCCTGCACAGAAGAAGGTAGCCTGTTGTATGTGGAGCATCACAACTCTACCCCATGGTGTTAGTGAGTGTCATGTAGAGGGCTGTAGGGTCCATACCCTGGGTAACTGCCTCCAGCTGTGTTCAGGGATGGTGACGTGTTTGTCCAGGGTACCCAGACTGTGTTCAGGACTTGGACAGTCCGCTGTATGAGCACTGGGAGAGGTTGATTGGGTGTGTGAAGTGCGGCTGCAGCTCTGCCATCAGCAGCTGGTGCAGAGTAACTCCATCTCGCTTGTAGATCCATCGGGAATCACAGAAGTCATACCGCTTGGGGCCACTGTCACAATGAATTAAAACTAGTTATCATGACTTTCAAAAATACACATGTTCATACAAGTGTTATTTTTATCAAATATTTCTCCTTATTAGGAAGATTCAGGTAACTATTACATCCATCACAAATTCATTGTGGTTTTTAAGAGTGTGAGTGCGCATGTTTGTTTACTGCTTTTAGCAATAGTCCAGCAGTATCAAAATGGGGCAAACCAGAAATAGGCTTCACACATTGTACCAATGTGGAGAATGGAACACAAGTCTTTGGCCTGGCAAGCGAACGCTTTAACCACTAGGCTGGCCCACTGCCTCCATGAATGTGAAGAGACTATGCAGAGTATCAAGAGTGCGAGTGAGTATGGTTTTACGCCGCTTTTAGCAATATTCCAGCAATATCACGGCGGGGGACACCAGAAATGGTCTTCACACATTGTACCCATGTCGGGAATCGAACCCGGGTTTTCGGCGTGACGAGCGAACGCTTTAACCACTAGGCTACCCGATCGCCCCGCAGAGTATCAAGAACAAAGGATAGTAAAATCTTACAAAAAGTCTACAACAGATAAGAACATCAGTCGTGAATACATTGTGTTATCTATGAGCTGAGTACATAAGAGAACCTAGAACAAGGCTCTGAGTACCAACAGGTTTACACGATACAAAAGCATGTGCATCAGATTATACATTGTTACAGAAGTTAGTTCATTAATTCATTAAAGTATTTGATAAGGGTTACCATGCCGTGGCATCAGATTACAATTCCGTGAGATTTAGTAGAGACCACATTGATAGCATCATCTCTCCATAGGAGAGGCAAGAAATGTCTAAGTTTAAGATAGACACATGGTAGGGGCAGTGTTTGAAATAAGGCCCTACTTGCTGGCCGTGGCAGGTAGATCTCATGTTTGTCTGTTTGTTTTTTGTTTAACACTGCACTCAGCAATATTCCAGCTATATGACGGCGGTCTGTAAATAATCGAGTCTGGACTAGACAATAGAGTGATTGATATCATGAGCATCAATCCATGCAATTGTAATACGATGACATGCATCAACTAAGTCAGCGAGCCTGACCTCCCCATCCTGTGTTGGGCTCGTAGTTTTGAAGTTGTATTGGTACTTATGGCCTGCAGTAAATTTACATGTCCATTTATTTGTCACAGTAAGCAGCAGGTTTATAAATAACGGCATGAAGAGTTTAGTCAGGGCCTGTAGCTTCTAAAGTCTGTGGTCTATAACAGGGGTCTGGAAATTTTTTAATCCCGAGACATAGGCATTTAGGCCACGCCCCCTTCAAATAGCGTTTTTTAGTATGCCTTTTCACACACATTACAAGTTGTTATGTTCAGTGTACCCTCGTCATTGCGGGCTTCAATATAGCGCTAACTCAGTTATAACACCCGGTAAAGCATGGCTCCCCAAATTTACTAACAATTATAAATAAACTCAAGTTTAACAATGACACAATGTTTCCCCCATCTCAGAAAACATTATCAGCTGATCAACGCGATCACGTAACACCGGAAATAGTACGCAATTTAATCCTATTATGATAATATCTGGTAATAAAAAAATGTTCATTGTTTATCTGGACTAATGTTTGCAATATATTATTAATTATATTCAAAATTTCATTCAATAATTATAATAATGTTTACAATAATTTCGGCGAAATCGTATGCGAAGTGATCGGTAGATCCCACAACTCACCGTTATTTACAGCAACCAAGGTCAGATTACCGCTATTGACGCCTTGAAACGAACTTTAGTTGCAAGAGAATGGATACACATTTCATATATGCCATACCATGACTCGCTAAAAGTCATATTTGAGGCAGTTTGACTATTAAATGTCAACATAACGTTTTCACAATCGAAATACATGTAGCGCGGTAAGTCCATACGGTGACTGGTCAAAATCGTTCCATTGGTCAAAAAATATCCTGCATACCATCTGTACCAAAGTGCTACGCTTATGGTTCTTATAATTTTAAGTATATATGGTGGAAGCTGCAACTAAAATAACACCATATTGGAATATATTATATCTGATAAAATAATAATTTCAGATTTCTTCCGACCATCGCATCAAAATTCTTTGAAGTTGTATCATTGGGTATGTTTTAACCATGTTAACTGTTTCACCGGTAGATTTGGAGCTTCTAAAGTCTGTGGTCTAACTCTACAAATGTGGAATATCCTTCCAAGCTCAGTTGTTAACAGGTTAAGCGCTATCTCTGTGAGGTGTTCCAGCCCATGCATAACAAGTGGGAGAACAGACCGCTCAGCTGCTTGTGTCTAGGTATCTATTCAGGCCCTGTTGCAGGTCAACACAGGGTAACTTAACTCAACTGGCACTTATGATGAAGCAAGATTTTCCAAATCTGTATATTTTTCCATTCTTCTAGTAAAAATGATGTTAACACTTTGGGAAAGGATGTACAATTTATGACTGTTCAGAGGAATCATATTTGTGTTGGAAAACATCATTACCTCACTGGTGATGACAGCCATATCTGTTTGTTTGGTGTCTGTTTGTTGATGACATACGTCCCCATGTTGCCACCTAGCACTAATGTCAACACTCCACTCTGGAACAAAACAGGCATCTTTGATACAACAACATGCTGTTGGGTTTTCGTCATGGCTAGGAAATTGTTCTGCAAAAGTTGTCTCCCTTGGCAGTCTTGTCACAGTAATGAGAGTTACTCCCATGTTTCAATTCATCAAATGAACCTTTACTGAAGCTCTGGTATATCAACAGCTGAAGTGTTTTTAATTGTCTGACAGACATATTTTTTAAACCAATGAATTTAAAATATATAGCGGTCATAACAATATAGTTGAAAACAGGATGAAAAGATATGCTGCTTTGAGTGTTCATTGACTGATAAATCAAGCAGTTGTTTCCCTTCCCACATCTTTCTACTTTCGGGGGTATTTAATTACAGGAATTAGATAACAAACTCAGTGGGAAGATTACTGTTAGCTGCTTAATGCCACTCAGCAGTATTCCAGTTATATGACGCTATAAATAATCCAGCCTGGACAATCCTGTGATTGACATCATGAACATTGATCAATGCAATACGGATGCAAGTGCTTGTTTGTTTGTTAGTTTAACAGCACACTCAGTAATATTCCAGCTATATGACGGCGGTCTCTATATAATCAAATCTGGACCAGACAATCAAGTGATTGTTATCTTGAGATTCGATGCACGCAATTGGGATACGATGACATGCATCAACCAAGTCAGAGAGCCTGACAACCCGATCCTGTTAATCACCTCTAATGACAAACATAGCCACCTTTTACGGCAAGCATGGGTTGCTGAAGACCTATTCTACCCCGGATCTTCACGGGCCGGAGGGATACGATGAAATGCAATTAACAAGTCACCAAGCCTATCCACCTGATCCATTTAGTCGCCTCTTAGGACAAGCATAGGCTCCTGCAGACCAAACTCAATATTTAATTCAAAATTTGTAGATCCATAATTCAGTATCACTGTAATCTTTAATAACCCCTTAGTTCATGTATCATTTTAGACACATTCAACCTGCATTGTGTCCACGGTACCTTCTGGGCAAAAACTATACTCTGCCAAAAAAAAAAGAATTGCAAAAGTGGTATAAGTAAATATCTGAAAGAGTGTTGCCGACATCCAAACAAAATTAACACCAAAAATGAATTGGTCATTTCTGCATGGATTGGCATTGATTTGTGACCTGGCATCGAACACACCAACATGACATGCACGTGCAACATCACTTGTTGCTATAACAATATCGGATTTTCATTTGTAAGTGAACAGCTTGACATGCCACGACAAACAGAAGCCCAACACCATCGGCCGACTGCAAACAGGAGAATCATCTACAGCTGTAGCGAGGCCTTTCATGTAGCACCAAGCATCATTACAAGACTGTGGAACCGTTAACAGACACATGGGACCTTCCCATATCCGGTCGACTATGTTTCACTACTAGAGCACAGGACAGATTCATATGGATACATCACTTACGTGAATGAACCACCCAACCACCTCTACAACTACTGCATCATCAGGATTGCTAGGATATCAGCCCAGACAGCGAGGAAAGGTATTCACGATAGGCGACCAGTTCAAGGTGTCATTTTGACGGTCTGCATTGTTGGCAGCGACCTCAATGGTGTCAAGGTCAAGTAAATCCACAACTGCAAGGGGGGCCATAATTTATGCTTCGAAGTGCGGATGGTAGATGTTGTGTTTACAGGCTCTGCAGGGAACGTTAATGTACACAGTAAGTGGACAGAGTTGTTGGTGGTAGTGTGATGATGTGGGCAGCCATCTCCTACACTGGTAGAACAGACTTGGTGCAAGTTCTGGGGATTTTAACGACACAACGTTACACGGATGAGATTCTTTGGCCACACGTCCTTTTCATTATGCAACCAGTGGATGTCATTTTCAAACAAGATAACGCCCTGTCTCACACAGCAAGACTGTCAACAGACTTTTTCAGGAGTCACAAAATCTTGGTCCTGCCATGGCCCTCCAGGTCTGCAGATTTTAACCCAATCGAACATTTATGAGATGCACTGGATAACGGCTGCGAGCATGTCAGCAATAACCGCAGAACCTCAGACAGATGGTACAAGCACTGCAGGCAGAGTGAGTGAACATTCCCCAGGCCAAAATTAGGGATCTGATTACTTCCATGGGATGATGATGCCAGTCAGGTTTGGACTCTAATGGTGGCCATACAAGATATTGGGAACAGATGACCTCCATCTTGAAAATCTACTGTTTCATGTGTGCCATATGGAACCCGGGTCAATAACAATGATGTGTGCAAATTTTGAACTATCGATTACCATCTGTTGATTATTGATATGATATATAAAAATACATCTAAAAAATAATAATTCTATAACTCTTATGTTTCTTTTTTTGCAGAGTTAATTTAGTCTTCAAATGGGAATGTAAAGATTTATCTGTCAAATCATTTCTATACCATGTATACATGACTTCATGTTTCTCGAAGTATAAGTGAGTGAGTATGGTTTTACGCCGCTTTTAGCAATATTCCAGCAATATCACGGCGGGCTCGAAGTATAAACTGTGTAAAGGAACATAAGTGAAGACACATTTCCCACAATCCTCTCACCCCCAAAGATGCATCATAGTCTTGATGGCAGTCAGCAACGTCACCCAGATCCTCGAAGTATTCTGCGAGAGAGTCAAGCGTGTCATCTGCCAAGACTTCATACTCCCTCTCTGTCATCCCTCCACTAGAAACACAAGGAACTCAAACATCAGTCCCCTGTAATGGCTGATCCAACTGTTGACGGAGCGATAGTCTCTACAGCAATAGCTTTACATAGATCACAAAGTGAAATAGCAAATGGCAGACATGTTACGTTTGACATCATGTTCCAGATAGTAAGGAACTCTTCATTTTGGAAGGAGAAAGATGCTCAAAAAACTTTTGCAATACTTGCGCAATATTGGTACATTGTACAACTACTGTATAGTAATTACCATATTAGTATTACAATTACTGTAGCGCTTCTATTGTCACCCATATGCATCCCACAATATCAACCGCCTCCGGGGTCTAGTGGTAGAGTGTTCCGCCCGGAGAGCTGAAGGACTGGGGTTTGATTCCCGGGCGCGTCATACCAAAAGATGTTAAAAGATGGTACTTGTTGTTATCCTGTCTGGGGCTAGGCATGAAGGGGCTAAGACAAAGACTGGTCAGCTTGGAATCAGTTTACTGTCAGTGCCTTAGCCAGCTGGGGGGGGGGGGGGGGGGGGGGGGGGCAGGGAGGGCAGTTGCCCCCCTAGATTTTTTATAGAAAACAGTTTTATTTGAATCAAGTTGGGGACAAGTGATACTTGTACAAATATTTGCCCCCCCCCCTTGTCATGTTAAACTGCTGCATGGTATCTCAGTGGGCTTGCACTATAGATCGGCATCAGTGCGAGTAGTACAAGCAGCCACACACAGACATGCACGTTGCTATATAAGTGTAATAATCTTGGACGCGATGTTAAACCCCATTTCACCATGTTCACCTCACCTCACCACACACTATCAGGAATCTCATGAAACATAGTGTCTTTATCCCACAGATTCTAACAATAACAGGCCATAGCTCGGGGTAGAAGATATGTTGCTACCTACTGTCAGCGGTGGAGTGTCACTCACACTTACCAATACCTGGTTCGCCCCAATTATGTTTCTAGGTTTGTCAGCACCATACCCGTGCTCGTGGGTTTCACCGAAGTGGTAAACGTCTGAGACCTGCATCACTTCAGGCTTTCCTCCCACATTAAGCTGACACGTCGTGATATAACTGGAATACTGTTAAAAGCGGTGTTAAACCCAACTCACTCACTCACTCACTAAGGAGATAAACATACTGTGTAGAATTAGCTGGAAATATACTCTCTTAGTTGATTTCTATTATGTTTTTGGCCCCAATTGAATTGCCAGATATACTTTGAATATTGTATTAAAGCAACTCTGCATCTAATAGCCTATAATTGTACAAATACTTATTTATTAATGGCTACTGACAATGACTAAGAAAAAAGTAATTGACTGTTTCAATCAGAGGTGTTTACAGTGATTTGATACTTCTGATTGACTAGTTAGAATCAAGTAATTTCCAAATTCATGGTAGAATTATTGATATGCCAACCAAATTTCACATCTGACATTCCACAGAAAAACTTCAGTGATAAGCAGATCATTGGAGATGTTATTTGGAAGGATGCAGTTGCCAATGAGAGTTGCCCAACTCAAGTAACCATGGCGACTATCTAGAAAATGTTGAGTCAAGTATGAATGCAAATATAGAAATAAAAACTGATTGTATCACGACTATGTCACCAAATGTCAAGTTTAAAGTTTTGTTATACCTTTGAGCAATAGAGACACAGCTTTCGAAATGCATGATAGTCGGCTAGCCTGAGGCTGCTAAATTGTGCTGAGGACAAGTAAATATCCATAAATTTGGATTCCACTAGTCCTCTGGACTTGTCTTTTAAAACAATGAATTTCAATGGCTGGAGAGACTTACCTAGCAGCCCTCTCTGAAGTCAAGCTGGTGATGCTGGTGGTGTGTAAACATTGGACACCAGGCCCTGCTGCACTCCGCACATCACTTGACGCATGTATGAACACAGGCGGCACTCGGACACACTGAAACAATATATATATATACCTATTATATATCTGGTGAGTAGGACCAGGCAGCAGTATGTGGCATGTCGTCCTTCTAACATGGAAAGAAGTGTCTGTGCTCCATCTCATCTGCAATCACTAGGTGTGGCTCCACTGGTGTCCTTGTAAGTTGTATTCATGTAATGCAAAACCCAATTTGTTTTTGTCTCACAACTGAAATGTTATGATACATGTCAGTAAAGCAGTTACTTTGTTTGTTTGTTATTTAAGGCCGCACTCTGCAATATTCTAGCTATATGACGGCGGTCTGTAAATAATCAAGTCTGGACCAGACAATCCAGAGATTGACATCCTGAACATCGATCCATGCAATTGATCAACGCAAGCCTGACCACCCTGTCCTGTTAGCCGCCTCTTACGACAAGCATAGTTGCCTTTTACAACAAGAATGGGTTGCTGAAGACCTATTCTACCCAGGATCTTCACAGCTCTGATTACCCTAATTATCAGTACCTAAACTGAGAGAGTTTCTCAGCTGCAAATATAATTCAGAATCATAATCATTTCAACATTTGGACCATTCTGGAGAATGGTTGGCAGACTGCAGGTGTATATGATGATCAACCTATTTTATTTACGTTAATCAGAATTTTAGAATGACAACTGCATGATTAATCAATCTGTTGATTTAAATTTTGATTGATAAAGTATTGTAGTAGACACATACTATTTGAAGTGCAGGAAGAATGAAATTGGTGCAATATGCAGTTTTGTAGACAAACATCTGTGTATTAAGTCCATGCATGACAGTTTCCATTGCATATCTCTGTTCAGGGTTGGGAGTTCTGCACAAGCTGTTCAATCTAGCGACTAGGTGTCACCAAGGATCAATTATCTACAACACCATGTCATAGCATTCATGTGATAGTGACTTGTTTTATTTTTGCTCTTTTTCATTAAAAGGGAGCAACCTTCAACCGAACTCCAAAAAGGCGATGAACTTTTTTTTCAGTCAGTGCTTACTGTCTGGATTTGTCCGTGAAATATGATTTTACAATCTATTTTAGCACAATCTTCAAACATGAATAACCTGAATATTACATGAAATCCACTGTAAATTAGGGCTGTTATGATTCACTCGCATATTCGGTGAATCGAACCGTAACCATTCATGAATTGAAATCGTTATTCATGGCCACTAGAATCAAATATTTATGAATATGCTATCATGTATATTTACATACCCTGTACCTAAAAATATCCATAACAACATATTATATGCATAGATTTCTTTCAATGACAACACCCTAATAATATTTAATTTGATAGTATTGTTTTCACTGGTCAATGTCGCATTTGAGCAGATACTAGTACCTGGATAAGTGCAGTATATAAATGTATAATTTATTAATAATTAACAAACCATGTCAAATAAAATATGTTGTTATTGTTTCACTGAATATAATAAATAATACATAAACTGCTGACTTGTTATTGTAATTGTGAATTAATATTCGTATTCGTTACCCTATATTCGTGATATGAATCGTATTCGCCTCATAGTGTATTCGTTGCAGCCCTACTGTAAATAGTATCACCAATAAGCATGTGATGATGTGTAGATCAAATGTGAGGAATATTGGTTTAAGCCTATTGGCAGTTGATACACCGATAACAGAATTTCTTCATCAAATAATGAATATATCTACTGTTAAGAGTATTCAATACCAGAGATTACATGAACTGTAATTTGTTTAACTGAAGGGGTGAGCTTGATGACGTTGGTAAGTTCTCTATGACAATGGGAATAACTGGGACAGTAGGTTGATAGGAAAGCATTTTCCCCACTGTCTTGATTCCCACCCTACGCACTTGTAACAAAAAGCGAATACCGTATTCGACATAATAAGCGCTCCGCTCTAATAAGCGCCCACGGCAATATTTGCTAATATATTGGCTAGTGAACAATCCCAATAAGCACCTCTTCCGATTGTTCAATGTAAGCAAGACTAATTTATTCGCGTATGATACGTACTGGTGTGTTATATGCACCCTTAGTTATGGGCAATTTAATTATCCGTCGTACATAAACATTTCAGGCTGTCAGCATAAACCACAAAATTTATGTTTCAACTCTGATCCAAAATGATGTTCTAATAAGAGCCCCCTATTTCTAATTTTGAGAGCGCCCTGAGCGCTTATTACGTCGAATACGGTATGTGCAGTGCTCACAGTTAGTGGTTCTGTAAGCACAGCAAAAATACTCAAAAATCGTAGGTGGACAGTAGTGGCACATGTGCCATATTGAGGCCTACTATTACAGATATCATGTCTCTATGTTGCCTAAGTTGACATCTAGATACAGACACTGAAATAAAAGAAAGTATTTATTGCGAAAAACTAGATTATGTCACAAGGTCATAAAATAGAACAAAACCGTACAGATAAAGTAATACGTGATATTGTTGTGCTCTTGTAAAACAATATCACGCAGGTTAAAGTGTGACAATGTTAAACCTCATAGACCAGATTTATCTGGGTAGTGCCAGTTTGGCTTCTCGAAGACACATTGACATAAAAAGCTAATGACAAAATTGACAACAAAACTGATTGTGTCGTCTTTCTTACAGCACACGCATGGTATCCTTGGACGTTTCTCGGTCTAGCTAACCAAGAAAATCTTCGACAGACAGCTGAACCTAAGCGACATCCAAACAAACTACCACTCATAATGTTGATTTGATTAGTTTCTTCGGAAGTTGACGCTCCTGATATTCCACCAGTGTCAGAAGCGAGCGGGGAAATTTAGAGTTACCTCCCCTAGGTAGCTCCCGTCATTTTCGAAACACGTCATGGATTGACAATACATTTCAGTGTGTGACAACATATTATTATGTTAAGCCACTTAAAGATTCATTTACAAAGGTGGTAATATGAACGATGGACAGGTTTATCACTACATGTGGTTTAATAATGTAGAGCAGGCATGTTGGGACGGGTAACTCGGGTACTCGGTCGGGTGGGTCCTGGCTAGGACCCGGGTGCTCACAGACTACACGGACCCGTGGTTACTCACGTGATATATCGATAATGACAAAAAATATCTAAAACTCTATGGTTACACTATAGTCACTAATGTTCCCATTTCTTTCTGACAATGCACCCATTCCTCCTGACTTTCAAATGTTTGAATGGCTCCGTTTGAATAAAGATAAAACTTCAGTGTATGCATGACCAGATCGTTTTACACGTGTCTCTAAATACATTTTGCCAGGGCTAAGGTCAAATCGGACAGTTTGTACCTATCTCTAAATATCTAAAGCGGGTACCCGGGTAGGGTCGGGTAATAAGGTGGTGGGTACCCGGGTAGTAAATTTGGACTCGTCCCAGCCCTAATTCATGTGATTCATATGTATCGTATATTTTGATAACACTGTACAACATCATGGACAGAGAACACATGACGATGAAGCCAGTAAACAGGAAGCTAATTACACAGCATACATAGCTGGGTGCTTATTGCTTACTGTTCATAGTAGGCGAATGGGATGAAATAGCCTTGATCTCTGTTGCTTGATGGCTTGTGGCGAAAGTGGACTGCCTCTGTTAGTTTTCTTTTAGTGAAGTCAGAGCTCCAGATAAGCTGCGTATCTGCGTAAAAAACGCATCAGAAATGCAGAAATACGCAGTAAAATAATATCCAAGCGTATCAAATACGCAACGAACATTACAGATACGCTACAAAAATAAAACTTGTGCGTATATTCAAAATATTGTGAAGTAACCCTGCGTATTCGATTGGCAAATCAGCAACTTATTTTGAAATCATAAACGGGCATTCCGTCAACCTTGCCAAACTCCACGATGACAGTTACATCATGATCATTTGCCATCACACTTTCTTGTGGAAGTATCGTGGTATTTTAGAGTCCTATAAAGCTCTCGAACCCACACAACACCAGTTTGCAGGGACTAGATGAATAGTGTTTTTAAATATTTAACTTAAATACCCACATGTGTAAAAACTAGTGGGTAACAGAAATTTGAATACCCAGATAGAATTACTGATACGCAGTGATTTTAAAATGCATGGGTAAAATACCCACAACACCAAAAGCTTATCTGGAGCTCTGGTTCAAGTCATGGAGGTTGTCGGAGAGGTTCTGGACGTTTTCCCAGTTAATGTTGTGATTTGGGCAGTTGCTGATATGGTCACAGAAGGCTGATTCACTGTCATTCGATGGTTGAAGTTTTGTGCTCTTTGATTCTGGTGTTGATGGGGCGGGATGTTTCACCTACGTAGGAGTGTCCACAGTTACAGTAATTTTTATAAACTACACCCTGAACTACCATTAACTGCATGTGGACAATCCTATAGATGTAAGTGAAACATCCGACTGTACTGTATTTTTATCCCATGTGAGTTTTGAGTCAATGATGGTGTCCAGATATTTTAATTATAAATTATGTATAATGATATGCGTACATACGAAATACATAATTATTATGAACATATTTAAAAAAACCCATTCCTAACTGTAAATTATTACACTTAACACGTTTGTATTATTCTCGAACATTTATAAGAGGGAGATTTGCTCTGTCCTAAACTGGTTTGTAGGCCTCTGCGCCTCGGCTGCATCCACTGTATGAGGCGAAGGGCAGGGTACCAGTCTTATCTCTATCCGACCTATTTGCCAATTAAACAGCATTTCGCTGCGATGAAACGTTGACCATTTCCGCGAAAATGATCTGTCTGACGAGAGGGTCGGGGACAGACCTACAACACCGATAACCGGGAAACGTTGACCCTTTTCCTTACAGCGAAGTCTGCCTGACGAAAGGGACAGGGACAGACCCACAACATCGATAAGCGGGAAACGTTGACCCTTTTCCTTACAGCGAAGACTGCCTGACGAAAGGGACAGGGACAGACCCACAACATCGATAAGCGGGAAACGTTGACCCTTTTCCTTACAGCGAATTCTGCCTGACGAAAGGGACAGGGACAGACCCACAACATCGATAAGCGGGAAACGTTGACCCTTTTCCTTACAGCGAAGTCTGCCTGACCAAAGGGTCGGGGAAAGGCCTACAGTCTATCGCTATGCGGGAAACGGGGACAGGCCTACAGTCTATCGCTATGCGGGAAACGTTGACCCAGTTTCAGTGTAGCGAGTTATTAGCACTTTTGGACATCGTGAAATAATTGACGTTTCAGGCAACAGGGGTAAACATTTTACCATTAGGAAGGTAACTCGTAGATAAGTATGGTTCATGGTTTTAAAAAATCGCACTCACGACGTTATGGGGTTTCAATTGTTACAATATCTGCATGTCTCCACTGATCTCGGTCATTATAAAATAATATTACAACAAGGTAGCTATACTTTGAAAAGATTAATTATGAAAAATATTAACAACGTTACCACTGTAGATACATCAATGTCAACAGTATCATGTATACCACTATGATTGTGTCAACTTAATTAATACCCCCTGTTCCTTAAAACAATAACAAATGTTTCTGGAAGTCATTGTTGTGAAAACATATTACTAGTTTTGTTTTCATAATATTTTTGTATTCTACTGTTATACTTATACTATATAAACATTTAAACTGTCACACATGTACGCCTTATGACAGTACAGGTACTTGCATCAATATGTAGGCATGCTACAACATTTCTTTGCGCCGTATTTGTTGATCCTCTGGATCAAAGTTATCTTGTATTCAGCGAGGATGAGGGGTAGAGGGTTTCAAGTAGCCCCACACGCACACTTAGCTGAACAGAGTTGCGTCCCTTGGACTTTGGTTTGTGAGTGTTGAAAAGGCCAACCCCTGATCCTAGTTGTTACCAATGCATTAAACGTCTAAAGCAATTGTTCCTTATTGGGCTTTCCTGTAACATTTAAGCTGACGCATCGTGATATAGCTGTATAATATAGCGGCATTATATCCAACACAGAACAGACACTCACGCATGTGACCATTGTTTACTGAAGGGAGTATCATTGGACCAAACAAGGAAGTGTTTTACAGTAGTGTAAATATTGTTTGATTGTTAGTTGTTTAACGCCGCACTCAGTAATATTCCAGCAATATGACGGCGGTCTGTAAATAATCGAGTCTGGACCAGATAATCTAGTGATCGACATCATGAGCACCGTTCCGCGCAATTGGGATACGATGTCATACATCAACCAGTCAGCGAGCCTGACCACCCGATCCTGTTAGTCGCCCCTTAAGACAAGCATAGTCGCCTTTTACGACAAGCATGGGTTGCTGAAGACCCCGGATAAACACTTTTTATGAGATATACATTTAATGAATGTATTTTTGCACCAACCTTCATAGAGTGAGGGCCATACTGTATTAATGTCGGCGCTTCCTAAAGTGTTGTCATGTACATGACCTCCCGTGTATACTTCACACTAACATGTTGTCATTTGAGGACTGACATCCGACAGGCTAACTGTTGAATCAAGAAGGGAGTACAATGGTGAAAGTTACCGTTCAGTGATTACAGCTACATAACGACAGCTTGTAATTTAAGTTCTCAAGCGAGTCGGGAATTCATAAGACTTTGGTTTATATTCAGCGCCCATCTCAAAGCGAGGCAGGCTCTGAATACCCCCAGCACGTGTTGGTGCTTACAAGCACAATCAGGGCGAACTGGGATTCGAACCTACGATCATCGGATACAGACGACTACGGCACCCAGCGTGTTGCGGCGTCCAGACCACTGGGCCACCTATGTTACGAATAAGTAATCGAGCCTAGTTAGATAACGCTGTGGACGACAATGTGAACGAGAACTGAGCCCGTCCAAGTACGACAGCTTGGGTGAAATTGAGTTTGACGTTGCATTCTTGAAAGAGTCTTGCACTTAAATAGCAACGTGCATGCATGTGTGTATTTGCGCGTGTGTGACTGCTTGTGCCAATCCGGACTAATGCCGGTTTTATGGTTCTAGCCCACAAAGATACCTTACCGCAGTTTTAACATGAATACCCCACTCGGACACAGTAAACTGACTCCGAGCCGTCCAGTCCTTGTTTTATCACCAGTGTCAGGCAGGGAAACAACAATTAAGAACCATCTTTTAACGTCTCTTGGTAAATCGCGGCCGGGGATCGAACCACCGACCTTCCGCTCTCCGGGTCGACCCCCTATCCACCACGCAGGTGGTCTGGGAAATAGGTGTTCACAGGTGGTCACCCATCACACTTCTTCCACTTCTCCCAATCTCCAGCTTACCCGTGTGCTTCTCGTAAGATGCACCTATCGGAATCGGGTGGTCAGACTCGTTGACTTGGCGGATGCATGTTATATCCCACTTGCGCGGTTCGATGCTCATGACATCGTTCACTGGATGTCTGGTCCAGACTTAATGTTTTACAGTCTGCCGTCATATAGCTGGAATACTGAGTGCGGCGTAAAACAACAAACAAACAAACTTTGGATTCTTCCTACCCCGGAATAGATGGTTTGGTGAAGTTGTAAAGACTACTACGGAAGAGGCTTCTTTGGAAGATTAAAAAACCCACATAAATGCCGGTTAAAAGAAAGCATACAATAAAATTGAATTTGACCACAAAAATACAAACGTCATCAAACTGTTATTTGGCTAAAAACAGTCCCCGAAAAACAACAATGACACCCGTATCAAATACCATGGAATAGCCATTTTCTGTTTCTTCCTGTTAGCCACCATCAAACATGGGGGTGTACTTTCTTTTGCCCAGCAGTTTATTTCATGTAGAAGTAGACCCATCAATCCATGTCCAAAGGAATACAGGGGCGGT